TAGGGCTGGGCGATATATCAAGTTTACACGATACATCGTGGATTGCACTACATGCGATGTCGTAAATGACCACATCGTGAACATCGAGTATTATGTTGTCAAATCAGTTTCCCGCCGCGGCCAAAGTGAGCTTTCCTTTCTCCCTCATAGACACAGTCACACACGCAGGCCCCGCCTCCAAACGTCCTTTTTCCCAGAGGATCACACATGCGAGATAATAGCGCAAGGTTTACAAGAGGCTCTCCTGTCATGGAACTTACCAGAGGCTCGTCAGGTGTGTATCACCACAGATAACGGGAGTAACATCGTCAAAGCTGTGAGCCTCAATAAGTGGAAAAGACTGCAATGTTTTGGGCACCGGCTGCACCTCGCAATTGGTGAGTAGGCTATCTGTCTGCCTGTTTTATTTTTTTAATATCAGCGATGTTACAACCATACTTGTCAACCCTCCCGATTTTCGCAGGAGACTCCCGATTTCATATATATATATAATTAATACAGGACCAGCCCACACCTATGCTCCATCAAGGACGGTGCTACAGGCCGACTCCGGCGATCCACTAGCACCCCCCACCCCCCCGCGGTGGTTTTGAAATGCTCCCGATTTTTTTTGTTGCACAAAACCTGTAGATAAGCAGTTAGTACTGACTGCAGACATGACACAATCTTGCACAAAATGCAGCTATTTTTTTGTATATGGTTTTTGACCAAACCAGTTTGACATCATGCACTGGTTTGTTGATGTAAAAGAAAATATGCACTTTGATTTAACATGTCTAAAAAGTCCTTTTATTTATGTTACATTAAAATGTAAAAAATGTTAAAATGCACAAAGAGTGCACTTTAATTTATTATTTTATTATTGCACTTTCAATATGTTTTGATATGTATAAGTGTTTCTGCGCTTTTTCATTGAGCTCTGTTTTTGCCCATAGAAATAGGCAACAGTATGTAGGCCTACATTTATTTTAATATGTATTGAATAAATACTATTTAGTTCAACTCAACTTTATGATTTATCACACATTTGTCTCGTTATTTTTACATTCCCTTTTTTCTAAGTATATATTTTTTGTGTGTTGGTTAAAATCGTTTTAATAGAAACCACTAATTAAGACAGTATAAATAACAATGGTTTAATGCAGACATATGTTGCAGGGACTACTAGAATCATCATACTGGCATGACTGTAAACATCAAGGGGTTAAATTAAAAAAATGTATGTGTTTCAGAGGAGATTTCAGAATATCGGATATAGTCAGTAAATATCGTGATATAATTTAGAGACCATATCGCCCAGCCCTACATCAGCTCTCTTTTTTTCCATGTTTTTCTACATGACATTAAACTCCGTCCTCAGGTAGACACTTGATTTACCTCTACCCATCCCAGCTGATGGAAACACAGCTTTCACTTTCCATTTGTGAAACGTTTTTACATTGCCTTTATCATAATCGTTTATCTATCCCTGGGAACAATTCTTCTTTGGCATTGGGTCCATTAGTTTGTTAAGAGCGTCCTTGTGTGCATGCAGTTATTACAACTCTGTATTATGTATGAAGTATTTGTAAAAGCCTTCTATTTGGATACATGGATGTTAATTATGCAGATGTCAAAATAAAAATCAGCTTTGCCAAAGTATAAATATGATGAACCCTTAAAGGTGGGGTAGGTAAGTTTGAGAAACCGGCTCGAGATACACTTTGTGTTATATTCCATGGAATGCTCTTAACATCCCGATAGCAATGAATATCTGAAGTGCTTTGACAAAAAATCCATTAAAAAATGTCATCTGTGGAAGCCGTGGCGCTGTAAAAAGCACATCCAATCATTTTAGCCGGCCCGGCTAAAATAACTGGATGGCCTACCTGCCTGTCAGCCTTCCATCAGTGCACAAACTTATCTCATGCCCTCATTGGTCATGTGCGCGTTCGTGTGTGTTGGAGGAGGGGCTCTTTAAGGAAGTGGCAGATTTTTTCCGGCTGTGTATTTTCAAATTCTAGTGCACTCGAGCTGGGATCTCCAAAATTACCTACCCCACCTTTAAGGTCATGAAGCCTAGAAATGTGTACCTTGAAAGCCATGTGCTCCAGGAAGAAGCCTGCTCCGTTGTTCCTCTCAGTCTCATAGCGACTACCAGCACTGATCCACAGTCCAACCTACGATAGGGAAGAAGAACAGGGAAATATTAATCTACAACAACACAAAGACATTTTTAATCAAACAGCCCAACCTCCTTAATGGCTGTAAATAAATCCACTACATCTGTGTTCTTACGGTGCAGGTTGCATGTCCGGTCTCCTCGGAGGCGACCCTCAAACCGTTGTCCAGGGTAGTGAGGTGAGTTTCAGGGGCTCCCAGCAGGCTCTGGGCATAGCTGACTGAAGACTGTCCGCGCCTCAGAGACAGCAGGATGGGCTGCAGGGGTAAGACATTTTATAATCCTATACAATTCAAAAATAGTGTTCGGCTCAAACACATTTTTGAATATTTCCATCATCATAAAATATTTTTCACATGACTGCATGATTCATCTTCTTTTTATTATTCTTACCAAGCAAAGGAGGCCACGTTAAAATGACAAAATGGAGCGTTTTAGAACTGTTATCTTGTATTGTAGTGTTCACCTTCACACAACCTATTAAATTACTATGTAATACATGTACAATGAACACCCTTTAAAAAAGGACTTCACATCAAGAATCTGAATTGTAGGCCTGTGTTTCCTGTTTCTACACACAAAGTGGCAAAAGCAAGCTCAATTAAGTAATTTGTCAACATGCCTAGGTCTGATCGTACTGAAAACTTAAAGACTATTCATCCATGTAAACAGAACGCAATAGCAGAAAGGCTTGGCATAGGACAACGTCTAACCTTAAAGCTAGCAGCTGACATTGACACCCCTGCCCTCTTATGCTATCTGCCAATGACTGAAAATAGACAAAACCATAATGTCTTTATAATAAGTTCAATTCAGGTGAACACATGTTAAAGCATCTAATTTAACGCATCTATCATTTTACACTCTACGGCAATGGGATGTCATTATATAATCATTTGCCTTCCGGACTGAATATACAATAATTGGGATGTTTTCTGAGAACATCTAGGATGAAGGTAGTTGCTAAATGCAGTATTTATAGAATGATAAGGAGTGCATGATTTAGGATGAATACAACACCCGGAATCACATTACTTTTGAAGTAGTTGCACAACCCAGTTCCACTAATATAACATCTGTGTCCCGTTGACAATTTCTTAAGGTTATTGTTCAGATTTGGCATACAATGACTTACAACAATCAAACATTTTTGACAGTTGACATTAGTGCAGGATTGTCACTATCTTCATCTGCCTGTCCAAAGTCACAATGCTAATGCTGCTAGCCATGAAGCTTAGCTTTGGAAACTTAAAGAGGACAAGCGAGAAACGACACAGCTGATGACCTTGCGACAGACCGAAATGACGACCAGCTTATCTGGATAACACGAATATAAATCGGATGGTATACATGGGGTGTTTATTACAAGACGTGCTTTTAAGTTTGACAGGTGACCTTGCGTTCACTGCTAGCTAACTAATGCTAACCGCTTCCCGTTCGCTGAACATCGGACAGCTAAGCTAGCCGGTTAGCATGCTAGCCTGTTAAGTAATCAGGCGGTTTACCGTCTTCGGTTACCATTAGCTTGGCGTCCAAACAAGTAGAGCATCGGTATAACGTTTAGATAATTCAAAGCCTTTAAAAGTGAACTTACATTTCGTGATTTGGCGAGGGCTTGACCCACGGTGCTCCCTACTCGGCACACGGACGCCGCCATTTCTCAGTACGGTCACAGACGATAAGGGAGTCTGTTCTGTTGTCGTGGGTCTTCTTCGTCTTCGCTGTAAGATAAATGTGTGTCACCTGTTCAACTAAAATGTGTACCACCAACCGGTCATTATGTGGTATTGCAGGTGACTTCAGTTCAGTATTGCTACTTTACTTTGTTTTTGACAACTGATTAGCAAGAAGATTTTGAGTTAGATTTTTTAATCTAAAACTGTATTAAAAAGAATTATTATTAACACATAATCTGAACATTGATATTGTATATTCAATAGAGATACTCAATGTACATCTTTCCTGTTGATATTTACATGTGCTGTTGTTTAGTTGTTTTAGTTCATACAAATATCTGCCGTCTGTGGTTATTTTGTATTTAATAAAACCCTTATGTTGTGTTCGGGTCTCCCGTGACCCGTTTCAAGTTAAAATGATATAATAACTACGTTCTAGTTTTTTTTATCGGAACAAGGTTTCATGATATCCTCCACAACAGCTATATAAATACTACAAAACAGATTTTGACAATTTTAGCCAAGTCTGAAGGTCTCTAAAAAAAAAAGTGTATAATTTGGTGTTCGGGTCTGGGGAGACCCAGCAGAATGGTTTTGGGTGACTCGAGGTCAAATTTTGCCCAATCAAGATTCATCTTTGTTCTCGTTCTTCAACTGTAACAATAATTTTTTCGCAACATGCACCACTGGAACTCGACCTTTCTCAAAGAATATGAACACGAACACTTGAACCAGAACACACACATGCACGTGTGCAATATACGTGGTGTAATGTGTTTTGGGCCATAACATTAAATTACAACAGGATTGTACGGTTATGGATGCATTATAAGTTAGTTATGATGTAGTTAAACAATATTGGATGATAGTCATTTTTTGTGTATGTTTTGGACTGAGATAAATCATGGGTCAAAATGTACCCGGAACACCATGACCGTTAACAGCTTTTGAACACAACACAAGGGTTAATTGTCTACACGCTGCTGTGACAAAATCATTTCCCAAACTGGGATTAATAATATAATATTTGATCTTATCTGAATTAAAATGTATAACTATTAACACATACTCATACCCTGAAGGTATCTAACTGAAATAACAGGGGAACGGTTGTCGTAGATCACATTATTGGAACAAATAAATAAATAAAGTGAAAAGAAGACTTAGTTATTGAATGTCATCTTTATTATGAGGTAGGCCATACAACCCTGCAAAAGAAAAGTTGAAGCTGTAGGAGTGTGTGAATTATTTGGTCAAGTTTTTTCATGCACTCGAGGAGCTGGTGGCTGTTTGTCTGGGCTGTTTTGGAATAATCTCTAAAGACAAAGAAAGAACCCGGCCGTTCTTTAATGTACAGGGTTGGAATTTCTGTGAACAGACTTTTTGAACCACTCGTTTCCTCTTCCACAAAAGGACAGAGCGAGACTGGATATTAACGGGCAGTTGGATGGTCCTCACGGTTATTGGCAGCTGAACTGGGAAGCCTTTATTAGTGACAGGCACAGGCGGATCAGGAGGAAGAGTAGTACGAGGTGGAGTAGAAATCCCACTGCTGATGTTTTTGAACTGATTCTTCAACAACATCTTAGGTAGAGGCTTGACTTTTTCTACCACAGGCTCCTTCTCTCTGCTGCGGCGTTTTAATCCTGGACGGTTCAGTGGAGGAAGTGTGCAGGGAGACCTGATCTTGTTGCCCTCAACAAGCAGGTTGACTCCTACATACTGTGGCACGTCTACTGCTGCCTGGAGACCAAAAGTGATATCTATGGTAACAGATATTACCATCAAATTGTGTAACTGTACACTATTATAACTCTTCCTTACCTGCTTGTATATGAGCTGGAAGTCCCCGGTGTTTGCAGTGCGGTCCGCTCTCCGGTCCAGGACGACTCGTATTGTGTCTTCCTGCACAGCAGAACAGAGGCGGGCCGTCACCGGGGTGGAGTGAGCCATCGTGGGACTGGCATTGAGTTCTATCAACCAGGGGCGCAGGTCATGGCCTAAAAACACAGAACAACACATCCAAGGGGTCACCTACACATACCCTTTATTTATTTTAGTAAATGTGCACAAAAATATTAGAATGGAATCTATATTGGAATCGTTCAATTTTTATTATATTACCAATATATTATCAAACGTAAATTCAACTGTGATAAACCCTGGTTTACTCTTACATTAACACTGCATTTATTTATACTTTACATTTCAACATATATTGTTATTTATACTAGTCTTCAACACACTCAAACCATATATTCAATATTTTTATTTATTTAGACTGCTGTTATACATTGTAGTTTAAATAAAAACAATTAGGTTAACATATTTCCTATTTTTCCATATTTGTTATTTCTATATTGTAGTATAATACAAATATGTTACATACTTATTTAGACGTTTCCTATCATTTCCCTATGTTCCTGAAAATAATTGTTTTAAATATAAGTGAATGCATGCTTTTCCAAGTGCTCAAAGCGCTTCACATTACATATTATATGTATTGGACATGTAATGAATCAATACTGTATACAATGTATATAATGTACAGTGATATAATCCTACCTAGCATGAAGTCAGCACCGTACAGCTCAAAGGTGTTTTTGCGTGACTCCATCAGATCCTGTGTTGTCTGTAAAGCGTGGATCACAGCCTTCTTCATCCCGGGGACCACCATCGTCTGCCACTGAGCTCCCCTCCCCTGGCTGCACAGGAAGGTCTTGAACTGATCATCAGACCACATGTTGTCTGCTGGAATACCGTGGTGGCGCTGCTGGGAGGGTATCAGGTGCTTTTGGATGGAGTTATTGCACAGGTGGACAGAGCTGAAAAGATGGAGTAAGTAACAAGTAACAAGTAACATGTAATGGAGTAAAGAGAAATAGGAGGAAATGGGTGATATGGGAATGAGAGAAGTATAATGAGACATGTTTTTAAAGGGCATGCTATATACTCTACAAGTGTTATTTGTATAATTCTACCAGGACAGAAGAACTGTAAGAAAGTAAGATGGTAAGAAGGTAAAGTGTCAAAGTTATTTTTCTAGTATTTACTTAGCACAGAAACTTAAATAAACCCAGATGATAAAAGCAAATTCAGCTATGACAAGCAAAACCTGTGATGCCTTTCTTTCTCTTACTTCACTGACTTACTTGTCCATTGTATTGAGCGAGTAAGGCTGCGTAGAGAAGCGCACGTAGCACTTTTTGTAGAACCACACAGTCAAAGGGTTCCAGTCGGTGACCAGGAACCATTGGCGCAGGTCAAACTTGGTGCCATGGACCAGCAGGGGGCGCTCCAGGTACTTCTGCACCACCCACTTACTTTCCTTGATTAGGGTTGAATCTCCATCCACCAGCTGGAGGATCTGATCCAGATGCTTGGCACATTTGATGCCTGGAAGAGAGGTTTGGCAGATCAGCCAGGACTCGGTCACATGTTGTGTAAACTGTTCGATTGTGTCTTACTTCTCACCTCTGCCCCTGGACATGGCTCCCGGTTTGATGATCCAGATGTTGTGTATGCCGTCGATGTCCAGCTGTGGACTGACCTCCACCAGCCTCTCTAGCATGGCTTTGCAGCAGTGCACAAAAATATCACTGTTCTCGATCTTTTCCCCTCCACTAAAAGAGACAAAGAGAGGGAGGGACTGTATAAAATACTGAAAGTCGCTTTGAATCACACGTGGGATCCCAAATGTGGAGATGAACTGGGTTAGAGCCCTAACTACTGGCTTCACTGAAATGGAGCGCAAGGGAAACGCTGCAGGATACCTTGTAGTCTGGCACATTATAGTTAGCATGTACGCACAACCGGACTTCGATGGAGGCAACGGCCCCACACAATCTATGATCAAATGCTCAAAAGGTTGGCCAAGGGCTGGAATGGGACTGAGGGGAGCAGGCTTAACCACCTGACTAGGTTTACCAGTGAGCTGGTATATGTGGCATGCTTTAACATAACTTGCAACATCGCGCTTTAACCGAAGCCAGAAAAAATAGCGTAGCACACGGTCATAGGTTTTTTTGATCCCGGCTGGCTTTCTTTTTTTACACACACACACAACACTCACTGAACAACAAGTTGGTAACTGTGGATAAACTCTTCCCACTGCTCCTCTGTAAGTGGGGTCTCTAGGTTTCTGTCTATGTCACAATGCTCCAGACTCTCCAGAAACTCCTGGCATACTTTGAGAGCGCTGGTAATCATTTTGGAAAGGTCCATTGGTCTGGATCGCTGTTTGCTTCGCTTCCTCGCAGCCCGAGTGTTGTGGCTCGTTCCTTCTGTCTGAACGCCTTCCTCCCTCTCCACAATGTACTTCAAAAAACTGGTGCAGGCTGTCCTCCTGTAGTCCTCTGCAGACAACGAGGAAATTAAGCTTTTAGTACAAGGATGCTGGAAATCCATTATACTACACGTGAGTAGGGTAACATTTCAATTAAGAGATATCAACATGAAATGTACCCATTTCATTCCCTAGTGCAAACATGAAATATGCTAATTAGACATTATCTTATTAAATATGTGATTGTTTTCAGATAGTACAGTTCTGAAACAGAAATCTGATTATTGGATTCAAAGTTCTTGTTTCATTTTGTTGACATATTAGAGTCTAAGGTTTTACAGGGAACTTTGGATATCTCTTTGTACCTCTAAAAAAAAAAAGTGATGTCAATCAGACTATACATATACATTTCATTCTGCTACTGAAGTGGAGATTTCTGGCTCAAAGAATGATTCAAAACATTTATTTTGAGGAAAAATTATGTATTCTAAATTTGCATTTGTATACATTTTGCATTTGGGTGAATATTTTTTAGTTTTTAGTTGAATAAAACAAAGATTTCTATGTTGGATGTTTCCTTTCCACTATTGTGAATGACATCTTGTCATTAAGGCGAAATAGTCGGTCAGATCTCACCAATGAACGAATGCTTTTCATCCTGTGCTGCCAGTCTGTAACAGCGTGGAAAGAATGTGTCCGGGTCAGCGGCGTCAAACCAGTGCAGCTTCCTCAGGTTCACACACAACCCCGACTGACAGAGAAAATACATTATTAAACATTAATGTTGGGTGTGAGAGGAGGAGACCACTGCAGTCATTTTTGATGTAAAAAAAGACAATATGTACCTTGGTGGTGAAGCTGCCTGCTTTTACAAAATGATTGATAATCTGTTCTTTTTGCAAGCTGTTGGGGTTGATGGCGTCTCTACGCATCGTCCAATAGAAATAAACCATTTCATTCCGTACCAGGCGAGACTGCATGAGAAGTGGGGAAAGAGGAGAGCTGAATCTGTTGAATTTAGCTAACAACCTGATTTTCTGAAACGTTTAACATGGTAAGCAAAAAACTATTTTCCTGCCTGTTTCACATCACTCCAGCCTCCAACCTTAAATATTATATTTACCATGATATCATATATTCCATCAGGGTCTGGCTCTTTGTTGACATTGTCTGAGAAGAAGGAGAAATGTTAATAAATGATGGGATATACACAGATATCTGCACCCAGTAAAAAATGGACTCCCTTTATTATAGCTGACCGTCATCTTCATCGCTGTCAGCAGAATCTTTAGGGCTGCCCTCCTCGCTGTGACGATGGTGAACTTTGGGCTTTGGGCAGTGCAAACGCTGCTCCACCCAGCCTCTGGCCCTCAGCGCTGTCCTAATGACAGGGTAGGGGCCCTGGACAGAGAACACCTTATGCATCTGAGAGGAATGAGAGCAGACACCTAAATATTTGCAGAACATTTTGACAGGTATGTGACCAGATAAATGTTTTGTATACAGGGTCGGGGTGTATATTATTCAGTCATGTGAACTCACCCTGACAGCTTTGTTCACCTGAGCTCTGGCTGTCTTCAGTCTCTCTGGATTGAGAACAGGTAAGCTGACAAAACTGCGGGGGACTTTGCCCTCGGGAGGTGTACCTGCCGCTAGAAAAAATTCAAATATATCAAAACAAAATGTGTAATTATACTGTTAAATTGTTATAACGCTTATCATATCGACATGTAGTGGAAACCTACTTGCTTGCAGGCCTTTGCCTTCATCTTGGGTGTATTTCTGGATAAAAGCTGTGACTTTCTGATCCTTCGACAGACCTTCTGTTTCCCCTGCAGTAACATCAGGATTGTGACAGTAAAGTATAAAGTATTTTGGTGAAATGGCTCATGTAAACCAGTTTGCAATCTGAGCCAGAACAAAATGTTGTAAGCTCTTCATAACACACATGGCATAGTCTTCTTCATTACATACAGCAGTGGTTCTCAACGTGGGGGGCGCGCCCCCCCTGGGGGGCGCAGAGGCATGCCAGGGGGGGCGCGAGAGACCAGGAGGAAAAATGGTTATAAAAAAAAGAAAAAAAAAGATAAAAAAAAAAAAAAGAAATCATAATTTGAAAAATTATTGATTCTAAAATAATATGATGCAGTACAGTACCATTACGTCTGGGTCTCTGTGTTTCATTCGAGCTCGGCTCTGTGTGTGTGTGTGTGTGTGTGTGTGTGTGTGTGTGTGTGTGTGTGTGTGTGTGTGTGTGTGTGTGTGTGTGTGTGTGTGTGTGTGTGTGTGTGGAACGAGCCATTTTGTGTGCGCGAGCGAGAGAGAGAGAGCGCACCGGTACCGGAGATCGTTGTTGTTAGCTTCTGGTGCTAGCGAGCTACGCTAACGGATATAAGGAGTTTTATCAACAACAAAGTGGAGGAGAGTCCTCTCCTGTCAGACTGAGAGACTCAGTGAGCTAAAGGACTCTCTCAGTGTTATCTCAGTGGGTCTCAAATGTTTTGGTCACCATTAATGTAAACAATTATTTCCGAGGCACACATCTATGATCATTATAGTTATACAAAAATAAGAGAATAAATGAAAAACAGCTATGAAATACTATATGACAGTAAAACAAGAATAAAGTTTAAAAGGGTGATTTGTAAAATATCCATAAAGAAAAAGTAAATCTGTTTACAGTTCTGTTTCAAATGGGTGCTGAGAGATGTATCCATAGATCTCTTCATTTTGCTCTCAAAGTGCACCAGATTGATGCATTTAACTTCAATATTTAGAAATAAATCTTCCCGGGGGAGCTTGCCCCCGGACCCCCCTATGTGAGGTCCACACACCACCTATAAAAATAGCAATTGACCCCTGCTTACACCTATATGCCGTGAGCTGATTATCGAGCCTTCATTGTAACAGTACACTGTCTATGTGCGTGTGGGGAGTGTTGCAGTAGAAAATTCCACTGTAGCGACCGGTACATTAATGGGAAACCCTAAATGTTTGAGCACCCTCTATGAAACGTCAAGCTACCCCACAGCACCGCCAAAAGAAATCTCTGGCGCTGCCACTGAGCCTGACTATTTGTCTTGGGGGGGGCCCGACTTTTTTTTTTCGCCTGACAGAAAAAGTTTGAGAACCACTGACATACAGTAACATGACAACAAGTAGCAGTCCAGTACATTAAGGAAGAGAGACTAGAGAGGAGTAGTCACAAACTCAAAATGTGATATATCTATCTCAGAAAACAAATGGCATAAGCCTAAATGCATAAACCAAATATAACAGGACAGATAATAGATTTAATCAGGAAACACAGTGTGGTCATGGCCAAAGACAATGTAACTAAAGGCTGGCCATCTTTAGCTTGGAGTTAAAAAGAGCAAAGTCATGAAACTTTAATAAGCAGCCTCTGAGTTCAAACATTTAGCCACCTGTCCTGAGTGTGACCTCATGTCTTATTCAGCATTCATAAGCAGCCTGTGTATGCTGTCCTTTGGAGGTGTTAACTCATACAGAAGTCACGTTTCACGTTTCAGTTTGGAAACAGGTCTGCAGCAACAGTAACAAACACATAATCGCACCTATTGTTTGAGTTGTTAACTAACAGAAATAAAGAGACACTTTTTAGAATTGTCAATCAAATTTGCAGTAGTAGATGGTTTCAATCCTGGGTTATGAATTAAGGTGATAAGACCACCCTTTGACTAACATTTGAAGATATTTAGTCCGTGATTTCCAGTAGTATATATCATGTCTGTTCTTTGGGTTAATCACACATGTGTTTTCTTTGTTGCTTTAACTCACCACTGTCTGGGCATGTTGTGTAGCGTCTATCAGTAGCCAGATGGAAAGGTTGTTTGGATTTGGTGGTCTTCATACCAACATTGGTCTTATTCTTCTGAGGAACCTCTGCTTTTGCTCTGCTTCATGGTTTAGGATATGCACTGCTGCAGGGGACAACATCTAGCATTTATAACGTGTAAAGTGTACAACTGTAACACAAAAAAGGTGTCAAATACAGGGATTAAAACGATGTAAACAACTGCAGGTGTCATGCATCTCCAGCTACTGGTCGAGTGGATCCGTCTCTCTTCAAGTGCACTGGACTATAAAGTAGGTCAGCTTACTGTGCAGGAGAATACCCCAGGCTGGCTGTGATACTCAGTCTGATTTCCTACTTGCCCAGAAAATAAATGCTACTACAAAGCCACCCATATTTTTAAACTAAAACTAGCATCAACGTCACAACCTGCCCACACTCTTTATAGACCTACTGGGAAAGTTTCTCGACACTGTCTCTTAAACTGGAATGATACAGTCAGCATTTAAAACCGAAGCTCTGACCTGTTGGTTTATTGTTTGTTTTCCTCTTACCTGCTGAGGTTCACGGGTGTATAATCTCCGTTGAAGCCGGTACTGTTTCACCGGAGGAACTCACGGTGCGCCTGACCAGACTCGAGCTGACTGTGGTTCCCATGGCAACAGCACGACGATTTCATCCTGCTTCCTGCACCAACTGCTGAATAAAGGGGGGGGGGGGGGGGGGGGGGGATTTTCAACGTCATTGTTCTTAAATTAACGATTTTTTTTGTTGCGAGTTTTGTTTTATATATTTCACACTGCTTTAGGCGTCTTATTTTTTGCAAAATAGTTGTTTACCTTCACTAAGATATTAAATATCGTCATGCTTATGCCCACGTGGAGGAAGTACTCCGATTATTTACTGAAGTAAAAGTAGTAGCAATTTAAAAATAGTCAGTTACATAAGTAGCCTACATTAATATTGTACTTAAGTAAATAATATTCACCAATCCTGCACTCAGTAAAGATGGGGTTTATTTGAAATACATTTATAAACTACTGGTTAGCTTAAACTTTGCTAATATAATAAAATGTGTGTAGATTTACATAAAGAAACTGCCAATAAAATATGCAAAGTATCTTCGGTGATTTCTAAACAAAACGATAGCAAAATAAAGCTTTAAGAAAAATTTTCCGTTGTTCAAATAAGGCGAAGAGGTTTTCTTGTTCGTGTAGAAATATACTTACTTTACACCACTGGGAAAATGTCAGTATGGTCTTTTCTTTTTATGTCTATTTATGTCGCCATCTTGTGACAGGAGGAGGGACTGCTGTAGCCTACGTCACGTTGTCACGTGTGCTTCAGCCCCTGCCCAGGCAAATCCCCGCTCTACTTTCAGATGTGTACACATAGCCTACTTACACACATGCACAAACACACAACACACATAGCTAATAACAGCAACTTAACGATACATACATATCAAACACACTCAATAGCAGGTAAGCCGAGCAACGTTGTTAAATGCCTTTCCAGCTATTTGAAATTAAATGCATTTGTTTGGACAAAATAACTCAAGCTAACATGCTAACATTGAAGAACTTACCTTGAAAATGTCTGTCTGTCAGGTGCATGCATAGTTGTTTTCTCGCAGTAAAATGTGTGGAAGGACTGCGTGCACCCTTGCTCCTGACGAGGTGAGCCGAGCCTGCAGCTACAGATCCCGGGGAGGACAGAGGAGACAGCCCCGCTGGAGGGAGGGAGACGCGGATAAATACCGACCGTCTTACAACAAGAGCCCACAGTCCATGAGCCCCGTCCTGCTGTCCCACAGGCACTTTGATAAGGTAGTAATGTCTTTATCCTGCCCGCTAAGTAGAGGTAAAGGACGCCACATAGATGTACATTTCCAGAGACATTCCTGAAAAACTTCTGAAAAAACATATAACGATTTAATGCAATATTAACAACACCAAAAATAAGAGATATAATAATCAACAAGATCTTCATATAATATTATTTGTATGTCTTTACTAAACAAAGACCATGTATACAAATACATTAATCTCTAAAAAAAGAGAGGAGATGATTCATGCCAGATTAAGATAGCAAAATTTAAAACAATACTTAAAACAATACTTTAACATGACTTTTTATACAGAAAGGATAGAGAAGCGCTTCCCCGTCACATTCCCAATAATATGTTTCCATTGTAAGCCTCAAAAAGGTATGTACTCCTGCATATAGACATGGGCATGGCACACTATTAGCAAGTAGTTTATATATTTACATCACTCATCAGGTACAAGAAACAGAAAAAGAAAAATGTCCATTTGCATCCTCATTGAAGGTGCTCATGTTATTGTGTTCACTCCTTGTATGTGTTCAGACTGCTCCTGTCGATGAGTGTGTGTTGGCCTCCATGCGTTGGGGTCTGGTGCCCGCCTGGTTCAAGGAGAATGACCCGAGCAAAATGAAATACAGCACCAACAACTGTCGCAGTGAGAATATACTGGAAAAGAAAACATACAAGGTACAAACGGTTTGAGACAATACTAAGCTGTTGAATTTCCTGTGTTTCATGACACATGTAATCATTTTATCGTGTCCCCAAAGGACCCTCTGATAAAAGGGCAGCGCTGCGTCATCCTGGCTGATGGCTTCTATGAGTGGAGGAGGCAGGAAAAAGACAAGCAGCCTTTCTTTATATACTTCCCTCAGACTAAGGGAACCAGTGAAGAAAAAACCGAGGACGACCCCATGACCTCAACCCGCAATAAGGAGAACTCCGAGACAGCGTGCCCTCCAGAGTTGGCCTCCCCCGACTTGACTCAGGTTCATATTGGGTTTTCTGCAGCAATATAAGCACTATGAACATTTCGCTTTCATCCAGAATAGAAGAATGCAGCTGTGGCGGAAATTACCACGGCTGAAAATATCCTGTGTGGGAGAGCAGCCAAAGCAAAAATGTGCATGTGTCCGCCAGGTGTTTCTTTAGCTTTCAAAGTAACATTACCTACAAAGTCATGCTTTAGTTTGAATGCTGGTCATTTTCTATTAATACAATCTGCTAATTCTTGTGGCCATGCCTCTCTATGTTGGCCAGGGAGGAGAACCAGGTGAGTGGACTGGATGGAAGCTGTTGACCATGGCTGGACTGTTTGACTGCTGGACGCCTCCCGGTGGTGGAGAACCCCTCTACACGTACAGTGTAATCACTGTGAACGCCTCCAAAAACCTGGAAAGCATCCATGACAGGTAAGGATCGTTCATGGGGAACAGTTTTTTTTTTTTCTATGTGTCTGAAATAAACCGTATTTCCTGATTGATTGTGTTTTAAGGATGCCAGCTGTCCTGGACGGTGAGGAAGAAGTGAGAAGATGGCTGGATTTTGGGGATGTGAAGTCTCTGGATGCCTTGAAGCTGCTCCAGTCTAAAAACAGTTTGACTTTTCATCCCGTCTCCTCCTTAGTGAATAACTCTCGCAACAACTCCCCAGAGTGCCTTCAGCCAGTGGATCTCAACAGCAAAAAGGTAATTTAACTTTGTTTGGAAAATGTAGCAATAAAGTGTAAGTTTTAGATTTAAACTGAACAATCTGACTCTTGACCCCCCCCCCCCCCCCCCCCCAGGAGCCCAAACCCACAGCCAGCAGTAAGATGATGATGAGCTGGCTGAAGAGCAGCGCACCTTCAAAGAGGAAGGACCCCGACACGGGCGAGAGTCCAGAAGAGAAAGAAATCAAAGCAGAGGCTCAGAGCAAATCTGCAGGAGGCCTCCAACAGTGGCTTCAGGGGGCCAATAAGAAACCAAGAACCAAATAAAGATGTGAACTTGTACATTTAAGCCATATGTATTCCTCTTCTCTATAGTATGCCTTTGCTTATAAACCAGTAGTATTTTTAAGATAACGCTTCACATGTTTGTACCATTTCATTTCAGTATGTTAATAAATGTCAGAAATAACCAGCATGTTTTATTCAAGATTTTTTATTACTTGAAACGCAAAGACATTTCGCAACAATGTAGATTCTATGCATTTATCATATTAATAATATAATAATGATGAATGCCAATACTCCCTCCACCCCACATTTGTTTTCTTCTTTCAAAGCTACAGTATGTATGCTATCTTGTAATCTATAATGCATTTCAAAGTTTTAACATAATATGAACAGACAGTTCAAGATCTGATCGGTTAAAAGAAATGTCAAGCACTTAAATCGTTGGCCAACGAGTGACTAGCAGAGTCGGATATGGAGAATTACAACACCACGCAATGATTGAGAGGTTTGCAAATATACAAAGTCTTGCAATAGTTGACAGTAAAAAGAAACTAATAGCATCAGTTATGTGATGAGAAAGACCTCTGCTCAGGTAGAATGACATACTGTCTTCAATTCCCACGTCAAATGTACCAAAAACAACCGGGTATGAGATGCACCTTCACTTCCTCCAGTGGACAAACAGCGTGTTAGGAGCCCAGTCACACAAATGTCCTCAACCTGAGCTACAAATGCGTTTAGTGTGGCTCCAAAAATGAGATGTCTTCAGTAATTGGGGATTACAGCAAAGTGCAAAAAGAAAAATCTGTATTCTGTACAGACTGACGGACCAATCACGGAGCTGGATTTCTAATTCTGTGCCAATTAACCAGCAGACAGCATATGAGTGTGACCCACCTTCACACATTCTGATCCTTCACTACCAACTGATTTTTTTATAGATTGCATGAGGTAAAGTGAAACCATGGTAACAAGTGTTTTCTTTTTTAAAGTTAAACAAAATTAAGCCACAACCCAAATTAGTAAAATGGGGAAGCAGTGTTTTTCCTCTATTCATGCAGCAGTGGCGGGCCGTGCAAGTAGAAAACAACCACCACTTGTTTAAGAAACTGATGAAAAAAAAACCAACAACTAAACATTAGTTTTCTAATTTGACTCAACACAAATATGTAGATATAATGCTTCGATTGACCAAATAAAAGCAGTTAGAACCAAAACTGCGCATGAAAGCAGCGATATACATGGAACCGAAAATGAGGTTACCCCGAACCACCACCATCATCATCATGGAAAAGTACATGGGGGGAAAACTGGGAAGTAATAAGCATCATACAAGTAAACTCCATGATGTTTCCTTAGGGTGTTCTTTGGGCTAGGAGACTGATATTTTATAGAAAATGTGTGTTTTGTATACATAAGGAGGTGAGTGCAGCATGTCTGTGTGTGTAGTATACTCAATGAGTGGGATGCTGCTTGTTTGTTGGGCATTAGGGTTAAACACAGTGGCCCATGGGATATATAGACAAGGCAAGACAGGGCAGTGAGGGCAGAGATGACACCCCCACCCCCCCCCCCAAACCCCTGGAGATCTTCAGAGTCCTCAGCAGCTGCAGGTCTCCGCTGACGGCTTGGCTCGCTCGTTCCGGTCCAGCTTTATCGGCTCGGGGAACTCGTTGTACAACTCCACTTCGGTCTCCTGAAATCAGACGATGTAGATGCATCTTTCACGCAAATCCATGCTAAAAAATATGATTTCTTATGCATTCAATAAGTGTTTCGTGCAGGCCTACGTTACCTGTTTAAGGGCGTTGCGTGCAATAGTCTGGAAGGCTTGCTCCACGTTGATCGCCTCCTTGGCGCTTGTTTCAAAATATGGGATGTTGTTCTTGCTTTGACACCACGCCTGTGCTCGCTTGGTGGTTACCTGAAACACAAAGGAAGTGATGTCATACAGAGAAACCGGGGTCTTGAGATAAATACCAGAGAATACCATAATATTGATATGATGTTAGTAATTTGGTAATATCATGTAAATAATCTAGTGCTTCCATTCTCTACTTTATTGCTTATATGTTTATTTACTCTCTAATGCTGCTTTATTGCAATACTGTTTTTACCATGGATCTGTTGTTATTTAATTTGATGAACATGTGCTTGCCTCTCAACTTAATACATTAGTCTACTCATCTTATTTGCCAAAAAAAGAGTCAAAATGCACAATAAACAAAGTAAAAGACAGGTTTGCATTGTTATTTCCTTCTAGATAGTAGGCTATTTTCAAAAACTGTTCAGAACCCATTTTAAAAAGGTCTCCCTGGAGCCCCCCTCCCCCATAAACAACTTGTTCTTGCTCTGTCTGCCTTTTCCAACACCCCCAACCACAAATCAGTGTAATACATTTGCCAAATGAACACAAAATACCCTGATTTGAAATGGAATACATACATTTCAATTGGTGGCATTATTAAATATCATGAGAATATTGTTACTGTAAATACTTTTGTTAAAATAGTGAAAATGTAATATAAAAAAATAATGACACGCTTAATCCAGGCTATTCCAAAACTCAGAAATAACCACTCACAACTATTTTCCATCTTCTCCACCCTCTTGGACCCCCCAAAGCCCCTTCCCCCTCCTGTCAAGCGACTTTGTTAATCACTTTGAAAAAAAGGTTGATGATATTCGCTCTTCTTTTTCTGACTCACCTTTACTCACCGCTGGGTCACCAGACCCTCCTTTCACCCACACACTAACCTCCTTTTCCCCTCTCTCTCCAAGTGAGGTTCTTACCCTCATTACCGTCCTACCACCTGTCCTCTGGACCCTATCCCTTCAAACCTCCTTCAGACTATCGCTCCTGATATTCTACCATTTCTCTCCCAATTAATCAACACTTAAACTTCTGGTCACTTTCCAAACAGTCTCAAGGAGGCAAGAGTAAACCCTCTCCTAAAG